TCATCCCCAACATTTAAATCTTACTCCCACCTTCTCTTCCTTTCCATCCTACTACTCCTAGCAGCAGGTGATGTCTCTCCAAACCCTGGTCCCTCCTCTTCTCAGCCACCTGGTACAAACACCAGAAACCACAACAACCTAATACCCATTCCATGTAATTCTCACTATAATTCCTCTTTTAAAGCTGCCCTCTGGAATGCACGCTCTGTGTGCAGCACCTTTAAATCTACTTCCATCCATGACCTATTTATCTCACACTCCCTAAACATACTTGCACTAACAGAAACATGGCTCTCTCCCTCTGATACTGCTACACCTGCCTCACTGTCTTTTGGTGGTCTTCACTTTACCCACAACCCAAGACAAGCAGAGATTAAAGGTGGCGGTGTAGGTTTTCTTCTCTCACCCCACTGCACCTTTAAAACCCTGTCTACCCCCCCTTCCCTCTCTTTCCCATCATTTGAAATTCATTCAATTCGCCTTTTCAAACCCTTCTCTGCTAACATTGCCGTAATCTATCGTCCCCCTGGTTCCCCTCTCCTCTTCCTTGACCACTTTGCTGCCTGGCTACCCTACTTCCTCTCTTCCAACATCCCATCCCTAATTCTTGGAGACTTCAATATTCCCGTTAACCCACCTTTGACCCCAGCAGCCTCTAAACTACTTTCAATCACTTCCTCCCTTGGACTTTTGCAGTGGGCTAATTCTCCCACTCATGTAGCTGGCAATACCCTCGACCTTATTTTCTCTTCTTCATGTACAATATCTAATATCTGCAACACCCCATTTCCTCTCTCTGATCACCACCTCTTATCATTTGCTCTCAATTACCCCCTCACCCAACAATCTCAGCCTAACCCCCCTCAGCTCAGGAGGAACCTTAACTCTATTGACCTCAAGCAGCTGTCAGCTGACATTGATTCACAACTGCTATCCATCCCTTCCCTCTCCTGTCCCTCACTGGCCATCTCCACATATAACACTACCCTCACATCTGCCTTGAACGCTGCAGCCCCGCTCAAAACATGCACCTCGAGGAGGACACGACCCCAACCTTGGCATAATAAATCAACACGCTATCTGCAGAGTTGCTCCCGTTGTGCTGAACGCTCCTGGAGGAAGTCCCGCACCCAGGCAGACTTTCTCCATTATAGATTCATGTTGCTTTCATACAGCGCAGCCCTCGCCCTCGCCAAACAGTCATACTTTTCCTCTCTCATTAGTTCATGCTCCCGCAATCCCAGACGCCTCTTTGACACCTTTAATTCCCTTCTCCGCCCTGCTGTGGCCACCCCCCAAACTAACCTTACAGCTGATAGCTTTGCATGCTACTTTACCGACAAGATTGAACAGCTAAGGAAACAATTCTCCCCTCCTTGCCGTTCTCTTTCTCAACCACATGTAAATCTTGCTTTCCCTACCCTCCAGACTTTCTACCCAGCTACTGAACAAGAGGTGGCTGCGCTTCTCCATTCCTCTCGCCCCACCACTTGCCCGCTCGATCCTGTCCCATCTCACCTCATCAGATCTCTCTCCCCTTGTCTTGTGCCTACCCTAACACACATCTTTAACTGCTCTCTCTCTTCTGGCACTGTTCCTGCTGACCTTAAACATGCCACTGTAATACCTATCCTGAAAAAACCATCTCTTGACCCATCCTCCCCTTCTAACTATCGTCCCATATCCCTGCTCCCTTTCTCATCAAAGCTTTTGGAAAGGATTGTCTTTACCCGTGTGTCCCGCTTCCTTAATTGCAACTCTCTCCTTGACCCTCTTCAGTCTGGCTTCCGCCCTCTCCACTCTACTGAGACTGCTCTTATCAAAGTGACTAATGACCTAATCTCCGCTAAATCCAAAGGTCATTACTCCATATTAATTCTCCTTGACCTCTCTGCTGCCTTTGACACCGTTGATCATGCTCTCCTCCTTCAAACTCTTCAATCGCTCGGTCTCTGTGACTCGGTCCTCTCTTGGTTTTCCTCCTATCTCTCCCAACGCTCATTCAGTGTCTCCTTTTCCAAGGATACCTCCTCCACTCGTCCTGTCTCGGTTGGAGTTCCCCAAGGGTCTGTCCTTGGTCCCCTTCTATTTTCTCTTTATACCGCCTCTCTTGGTAAACTGATTGCCTCTTTTGGATTCCACTACCACCTGTACGCTGATGACACTCAGATATACCTCTCCTCCCCGGACCTCTCCCCTGCTGTCCTGCAGCGTGTCACTGCTTGCCTTTCTTCCATCTCTGACTGGATGTCTTCACGCTTTCTGAAACTTAACCTCTCTAAAACTGAACTCCTTGTCTTTCCTCCTCCTAATACTGATCCTCCTCTCTCGCTCTCCCTTCAAGTCAGTGATATCCACATAAGTCCATCCCTGCAAGCGCGCTGTCTTGGCGTCATACTTGACTCTGGTCTCACCTTTGAGTCTCACATCCAGTTTGTTGCCAAGTCCTGTAGGTTCCAACTAAAAAACATAGCCCGCATTCGCCCCTTTCTTACGCAAGATGCTACCAAGGAGCTTGTCCATGCTCTAGTAATTTCCCGCATGGATTACTGTAACCCTCTCCTGATTGGTCTCCCCAAAAGCCGTATTGCCCCGCTACAGTCTGTAATGAATGCTGCAGCTAGACTGATTTTCCTCTCTAGTCGGTCCTCTCACACCTCACCCCTCTGCCGGTCCTTACATTGGCTCCCTGTATGCTATAGGAGTCAATTCAAAGTGCTAACCCATACATTTAAAGCACTGAACAGTTCTAGCCCCGCTTATATCTCTTCACTGATCCATAAATATGCCCCTCCACGTACCCTCCGCTCTGCCCGTGACCACCTCCTGACCGCTGCTCGCACCCGTACGGCCAACTCGCGCTTGCAGGACCTCTCGCGGGCGGCTCCTCTCCTATGGAATAGCTTGCCTACTGCCATCAGACTCTCCCCTAGTCTTCAATCATTTAAGAAGGGCCTTAAAACCCATCTCTTCAGGAAAGCTTATGGCCTCCCAGAGTAATCTCTACCTTACATACCTGTCTCCTGCTCTCTCCTATGGGACAGTGCTTTGCTCTCTCCTCCAGCTCTGCTTCACTCCTACTTGATATTTATTGTCCTAATGTTTCAAATACCCCACCTCCAATAGTCTATAAGCTCGTTTGAGCAGGGTCCTCTTCAACCTATTGTTCCTGTAAGTTTTCTTGTAATTGTCCTATTTATTGTTACACCCCCCCCTCTCAAAATATTGTAAAGCGCTACGGAATCCGTTGGCGCTATATAAATGGCAATAATAATAATAATAGGTAAATGTCAGTAATTCTACTTTTTGGTATACAGTTTCCTTTTCACTGGGAGATTCCTAGCAATTCCTTACCATATCATTTCGATAAATTCTCAATGTTTCTGTTTTGGCCAGATTATGACATAGTTACTGGCAGGTGTCAGTTCTTAGGAAATAATATAAAATAAAAACACTTTCCATGCCAGGAATATAACTTGGAGGTTCTAAATGTAACAATGTAACAACAGGCTAAATACAGTAACTCACTGGTGTTTTTTTGGTGGGGTCCCCTTCCTGGATACGCATATCTGTGATATGGGAACTCGTTAATGAAAAAAGGATAATTTGTAATTTCCTGCCTTGATGGTTTTTACATGATTTACATACCACTTATTTTTACTTGTCAATAACTCATTGTAATTACAAGTTCATTTAGTTTACTCCTTTTATATTTCAAAGAAAAATTGACCAAGTCCACTATGATCCCAGTTCAGCTATCTTGGTCAAAACTGTTAAATTCATTTTGAATTCACTTTGAACCACTTTAGTAAATAATCTTTCAGTATTCAAATCACTTTAAATTAACATCACTAGAACTGTAAATTTTACTCTTTACCTTAGCTTCCTTGTTTGTCCTCATGAAGGGCCTTCCGTTACTGCAGTCTATATTACTGAGACCAGTCCATATTATGTGTTTCCTATTCTATACAAGACTTCAGATTTGATATATTTTGTTGTTAGTCAAAAAAAAACTCATATAGACTTTGAAATTGACTGATTAAGTACTGTAAACAATTAGCATGCCCCAGCAGAAGTAATAATAAATAAGGAATGGCAAGAGTTACTGTCGGCCCATTCTATACAAAGATAGGGAAGAGGAAAGGTGTAAATCTGAGGAAGTTCCTGATTGAGCAAAATGCATTACATCATGAAGGACACCACTTAGTGGGTGGTTTTCCAGATGAAATCTAATTTAAACATTACACTCGGCTATCTTTTAAAGTGCTACTCTCAATGTCTGGAGACTTCAATGACAGTGACATCACCGCTGGGAATCCGGTGGTCCAAAGGGCAGGGCAAGGTGAAATTTACTTACCTGAACCTGTCCCTTGCTTGTGCCGCCATCTTCTGCTCCTGTCGCGGGATCCTCCATACACACAGACAATATCTCTGCAGCCATCACTGGTGTAGGCTGGGAAACTGACACTTCCATATGGAGGTAGCTCCATCGAGTGTCTAGAAGTGTCAGGTATAGGAATTATACTGAGTAGTCTCTACTCAGTAGGAACCTAGTAGACCAGTCGAGGAGTGCACTGGGGACTATTGAGAGGCTTGGAGCCCTTGGGAACTTACATTTAAAAATGGAGATCACAGCTATCAATAATGCAAAAAATGCATCTATGTATGCTTTTATATTCTTTTAAGTATTATAATACTACACTAATTTATCTCTTATATTTGTTTTCCCCATGAGAGTTTTGCTGCATATATTTATGACATTTTGCAAGGTAAATTATACGCCTGTTATTTTTCACTTACAATTCATGGTGTTTACATATAATTATATTTATTGCACCAGAGACACTTAGTTTGTATTTTGTACTTTGGCGTTTAGAGGTATTCCATTCTACTTGGCAGTGCACTTGTACACTTGTGCACATTTGCACTTTATATGAAATTGCACTTTATCAGTAACCATTTGCACTATACAAAGTGAATTCAAGGGGTGGGGCCGGGCTGCCAGGCTGACTGGAAGCCATCTGCTAAGGCTCCAGCTCTGAGCCCATGAAACAGGCACAAAAAGATGATCCTGACCACATAAACGCCGGATCTTTTAATATCACTGAATGGAGAATGACTCCAGCTTTAATCCGATACCCGCACAAAGCTTATCGCATACCGGGTGAGCAGAGGCGGCCGCCGCCAGCCTACACGAGGCCAAGAACTTGAACGCCTGCAGCCAATACACGCAGTGTGGCGACACGGGGAAGCGCTCCATCGAGATGCCCGAGCAGGAGACGCCACACAAATGAAGCCTCCCAATGTGGAGCGTCCCCTGACCCGGGGCACGGCCCCGCTTTCCCCATAGGCCGGCGGGGATTCTCACCACAGAGGGAGCTCCCACGTGGGGTGCGTGCTGATCGCCTGTACTGGCAAAGGCTGCATAACAAACAGCCGGCCAGCAGATGTGGATGCCAACACAGGGGATAGTGTGAATGCGCTCTTAAAGCGTCTCTACCTAAAATTGGTACCCACACTCCCTCAATGAAGTGAGCACAGGGACATGCAGGGAGATCCTTTGATCTCCCATTCATCTGGTGAAGGGCCCACTCAAAATAGGAGCTCCAGGCCTAGACAGGGGCCAAGCAGGTCATGGCTGCCTAACAAGTAATCCGGCTCTGCACATTCACTACCAGGTATTGGATGACATATATAAGGTGTCATTGTCCCCGTGGCCAATATATAGTCACACTAATCATGAATCACTGTCAATATTCAACATCATATTTTTCCAGATCGCAAAGAACAGGAAATGTGTGTTCTGTGAACATCTGTGAACAATGTTTTACAGATAGACTTTAACTGAAACAATCCTATTACATGCAGAGAGGTGAATAAAACGTTCTTGGCTACTACAAAGAAAAAGTGAAGTAAAGGAATTTCTGGTGTTTCTGGTGTACATGTTGAGACGAGTATTGTGGTGGGGACCATGGCAAAAGTCTCATTCACTCAGATTTCTATAAATACTTGTGTTACAGGAAGCAGTCACGTTGGCATTCCTTGGTTGAATGCTGCTCCACCTACAATGTAATGTTAGACTGCAAAGGACAACAGGTTACTGGCTTAATGCACAATGTGGATCTTGATCAGGTTATTTGCTGCTAAGCTACGCTCATGATTTGTTCTAGTACCTTAAAAAAATAGCAATTAAGAAGCATTAGCAATTTACAGCTCACTTACCGATCACGCTTAGTAATGAAACTCCAAATTGTAATGAATTAAAATCTGAATTGTAGTCAAACTATGATTTTGGCTGTATTGGATCATTTTTGCCTAAATTTTGACATTCTGGGTTACAGTTTTCAATAAGTTGGAGGTTAGTGAATAACCTTTTTTTCAAGTCCATTTAGTTTTGTCTTGCTGATCAAAGGCAATAACCCCTGTAGAATTTCCCTAACAATATTACAGTGAATTAAATGGTCAAAACTGTATAAGCCATCAACAATAATGTATACATATGTAGTAATGTCTGAAAAACATCTATGGTCCAATGATGCTACCTCTCTTAATATAAGGAAACATGTAACGTGCTAAGTAAACCTGTTACAGTTGTAAAAATATATTATTCTATCCTACTTGATGTGCAGGATTAGTTTTTCAGTATAGTGTTAGAGCAGAGCTCTCCAGCTGCTCCTGGTATTTGCCGAACCGCAACTCCCACAATGCTCTTCAACTGTATCTGAGTACAACAGTTGGTGGGTCCTCCATGACAATAATGTATTAATGATGAGTTTATTTCAGAAGAAGACAGTGAAAATTGTGGGAGCTCGTAAAATCTTCTCAAACGCCAACTACTCTTTGGCTGCATCATCGACTATGACAGTCAGCCAATAAAAATGAAAATCAAAATGTAGTATCATTGCAATGGTCATTAGCGTATAAGCTGACCTGCCAAAGTCATTTAAAAGTCTCAGGTGAGTTTTACTTTGCTGCTTTCATCTTGAAAGCCAAATCTCTAATTATGTATTGCTTGATAATGTTTTGTTACACGTCTTATAAAATTACATGGCAACTGATGTAGCTCTTGTTAACTGACTGCAGGTTGTCAAAACCAAACATGCAAAACTGACAACTTCTCCTAATGCTTGTGATGAGCTCACACTCTGCCTGGCAACAATGCAAATGTATGTAAATAGCAAGACATGAAACATACTTACAACAGAATGATGCCAAACATCATTAATTTCTCTTTACAGTCTTTTAGAAAGATTATTTGCATAATAAAAATATTTACCATTCAATGCAAATGCATATGACAATATACAAAAATAACGAAAGGGAACTATAAGAAAAGGTAATAAAATAACGATTTACAATTTCATGTTTTGACTAGTATCAATTCTATTACAGTGCAACAATTTTACTGTGAATTACATTAATGTAAGCAATGCATTGTTCTGCCTAGGCATTAAAGAACCACTAAAGTCACGAAGACCACTTTATCTCAATGAAGCGGCCTAGGTGCAGTGGTCCTGACTCCTGACAAATTTAACCCTCCAAGGTAAAATGTTTCCATTTTGCAGAAACGGCAATGTTTACTTTGAAGGGCTAAACACACCTCCAGTGGCTGTTATGCAGACAGCCACAAGATGGGCTTTGCATCACTACCCAAATAAAACTCAGTCATATAAGCATAATTCAATGGTTTACTACATGGAAGCATGGATGCACACATGGCACAAGCCGTGCATGCGCATCAGGTATCCTTTATAAAGAGCATTGGATTGGATGAGAATGAAGAAGGCCATACCTTCTCCATATAGTCGCAAGAGGCGGAGAGATATTTGTGTCGAGGGAGTGGCGGCACTGGAAATAGGTGAATAAAAGGACGGTTTTATATAATTTTTGTATGATACACATTGGGCAGAACCTATAGAACTAAGGACAGGGACACTAAAGCGTGAGGAATACAGGTTGGTATTCCTGATGCTTTAGTGTTCCTTTAATGCAAGGAAAAGTGACTACCTCTCAGCTACTATCCCTGAGTGATGGCCCCCCAAAGAAATCAATACACTGTGGGTTTGCAGTCTAAACCAGTGCTGTCCAGGGCCGTTGTGACTGTTGTGGTCAGTACATGTTCTGAACATTACATGCATTTTTTTTGCTTCTTTATTTATTTATTTTTGCTTCTTTTTATATTCCTGCAATTTTATGTGAAAAAAAATAGTCTTTGTGGTTTTACTAGTTCATGATTAACCCTTGACATCACTCATAAAATCCCAGAGAGCCTTCGCATACCTGTTACAGGTATTAAGAAAACATAGATTTTTTTACTGAACCTGCATCACTCTATGCTTTGTTTGATACTTAACTTTGACAATCAAGGACGACAAATGCACGGTACATTTGATGGGTGCCCAAAGTCAGCCCCTTTCAGGCTCACAGTGCTCCAAAGTAAGGCTCCTGCAGAGTATCCCAATAAACAACAAAAAATAAGTAAGTTGGGCAATACGATCTGCCTTCAAAGAATTAATGTCTGTTGTGAAAGTACACCACTGGTGTGCTACGTTTTGTCTATGAAGCCTTAATCATGTATACAGACAGCACCAATCAAATGAATAGAATTAGATTAAAATATGGACACAGATGGTCATGCAATATGTCACCAATTAAGCAAATGACATAATACATATATTGTATGCAAACAATAATTGCATACCAATTTTAAACCTAACAACAACTATCTTAATGACCACCATCTACAAAAAGTCTTAATAGAGCATTCCAATAACTCTAGTACTATCCTCTAAGAAGTTCAGATAACCGCCTTGTATAAAACCATAATTTTTATTGCTGGAAGAGAGAAAAGCACAAGCAAGAGACAAATACATGCATATATACAATAAAACAATATGTCAAATGCACCATGCACTTATAGACTAATCAGACCAATACTTTGCTAGTGTGAAGCCCCCACAATGGATGGACGCATCAGACAGTACTTTGATACTACAAATACTCTTCAGCTTGAAAATTGGAAAAAGTAGAAATGAATAGGAATCATACTGTATATGCTGCACTCACATTAGTGCTAACTATCAAATATAGATATTAATTGGAAAATCTCTCTTTAATTCACGTGGTCAGAGAGTTACATAGTTACATAGTTACATAGCTGAAAAGAGACTTGCGTCCATCAAGTTCAGCCTACCTCACATATGTTTTTGCTGTTGATCCAAAAGAAGGCAAAAAACCTAGTCTGAAGCGCTTCCAATTTTGCAACAAACTAGGAAAAAATTCCTTCTTGACCCCAAAATAGCAGTCAAATGTCTCCTTGGATCAAGCAGCTATTACCCCACTAATTAGAAATTATATCCCTCTATGCTATGTATGCAAGTATATTATCCAATTGCTGTTTAAACATCTGTATGGACTCTGATAAAACCACCTCTTCAGGTAGAGAATTCCATATCCTTATTGCTCTTACTGTAAAAAAAAAACTTTTATTTGCCTTAGATGAAATCTCATTTCTCCCAGCCTAAATGTGTTTGCAAATCCAATATGTACCTCTTTTCTTTAGTAACATTTCTTTAGTGACTATCTCTCCCATGTCAGAGAGAGGGCACGCTGTCTATTATTTGAAATCTCAATTGTGAGATATTGTGATTACACGTTGCAAAATGTTCAAGGACAGGTTCTTGTAGATTTTCAGTTTGTTTAATCGCTCTCTCAACGTCATAGCTGTCATACCTGCTTACAATGGCATTTAAATATGTAGACTACAAATGTGGATTCACACCTTTATTACAGGGTTATTCACTAAACACTGGATTTCAGCTGTCCGGCAGAGATCGGCGCAGCTGAAATCAAACCAAATTCAGGCCAATTCGGGGACTTAATGATAACATTTTGACATTGATGAATTCCATCAGCAATGTCCAGATTTTGTAGTACAAATGGTCCCATATATAACTGGATGGTTTTGCCCCATTCGGTTTAGGCCATTCAGACTTTACTGAATAACCCTGATAGTGCCCATATATTTACATTCCCCCCCCCCCCCCCTCCCCCAGCTCTTCGGTGTGAGAACCTCTTCGTATCACTGAACTATATGAACCAAAGTTTAAATATGGAACTTCACTTTTAGCAGTCCAAATAATATATACATTAACTGCAAATAAAGACTAATAATATTTTCATCATGCAATGGTTGACGATACAAGAACAGGCTGAAATTTTCCCTTGAGAAAAATAGAAGTAATATTTGGATGCATGGGATTGTGGCTAAAGAAGTTAAAGGACCACTCTAGGCACCCAGACCACTTCAGCTTAATGAAGTGGTCTGGGTGCCAGGTCCTTCTAGGGTTAACCCATTTTTTCATAATTATAGCAGTTTCAGAGAAACTGCTATAATTATGAATGGGTTAAGCCTTCCCCCTAATCCTCTAGTGGCTGTCTCATTGACAGCCACTAGAGGCGCTTGCGTGCTTCTCACTGTGAAAATCACAGTGAGAGCACGCCAGCGTCCATAGGAAAGCATTGTAAATGCTTTCCTATGAGACCGGCTGAATGCGCGCGCAGCTCTTGCCGCGCGTGCGCATTCAGCCGGCGGGGCGTAACGGAGGAGGATCGGAGAAGGAGAGCTCTCCGCCCAGTGCTGGAAAAAGGTAAGTTTTTACCCCATTCCCCCTTCCAGAGCCGGGCGAGAGGGGGACCCTGAGGGTGAGGGCACCCTCAGGGCACTATAGTGCCAGGAAAACGAGTATGTTTTCCTGGCACTATAGTGGTCCTTTAACCCCTTAAGGACACATGACATGTCTGACATGTCATTATTCCCTTTTATTCCAGAAGTTTGGTCCTTAAGGGGTTAATGATGCCATATCATGGTAAAGGTTGGTTTTAAAATGCTGCTTTAATGATGATTCAAGTAAATTACACAGACCCCTTACGTAGTAAATGTAGGAATAATTACATAAAAAAATAAACATATTTAGTAACTATAAAACAGCATGACATTTTTGATATCATATTAACCCTATATCAGTGAGATTTACGTAAGACAACTCTCTATATCTGGAGACAATCTGCATCTCCAACAAGCCCTATTCACAACAATTAAATTAATTGTTTTAAATAAATTGGCTTCATACTTTAAGAAACTTACCAAATCTTAAAATTTTAGCACCAACATTGATTTAGCTTACCAAAATTAAATTAAATCAGCTGTAAAATATAATACTGGATGTTCCACTAAAACATTAGGTGGCCAATGACCCTTCCCTTTTGTAATCTTGTTGATCTGGAACGAAAGAAGTAACCTCTCTTTACACACTTTACTATGCATTAAATAAATTACAAGACTGGGGACAAAGTGACTTTATTCAGCTGAATAAAACTTTTTTATTGTTTGACTTCTTCTTGTTCTTGTTTTTATTATTTTCTTTTTTTCCCTCTTCTTTTTAACTTTATTACACACTGGTCACATTCAGGGCCAGATTAAGAGCCTAGTGGGCCTGGTGCTGACAATTATCATGGGCCTAATTACAAAATCTTATTGACCAAAGACACTAAAACAGTCCTACCTCCTAAGCATCATGTATCTGATGGAGATGGTGCAGGAGGGAAACTCATAGGATGCAGCTATGAGAAAACACATACCCTATGCTAATCTCATGCTTTCAAGTAAACCCATACCCCTAACAGCAGTGTCCAGTAACTCAGGAAGTCTATGGATGGGGTAAAAGGGTGGGCCACTGACACAAATCACATAACCAGAAGTGCCGAAAGGGACGAACATACACAAAAATGGGGCATTTCTGTGTCCCCATGTCTCCCAGTCCCTTAGTGTCTGTGTCCCCATGTATCCCAGTATCCCCATGTCACTAGGACACTAGGAGATATTGAGAGACACTGGGAGACCTGGGGACACTGAGATACTAGGGTACACTGGGAGACCTGGAAACACTGAGACTCTTGGGGACACTGGGAGACATGGGGACACTGGGTGACTTTGAGACATGAGGGGACACTGGGAGACATGGTGCACTGATACAATGTGATACATAGGAGACACTGTGATATATAGGGGATGCTGGAGACTTGATAAAGACCTGGGTACAAAACGTTGCGGTGTTCAATAAACCTGCTCAAATCTATCACAGTGAGTGCCTGAGATTGTTTTATTTTATACTAGGGGACACTGAGACACTTGGGGGCACTGTGA